TCTGGATAGGGAAAGAAGTAGAGCTGCCTGGGCAAGCATGCAACGGTGGTCCCAGAAGCTGAACCTAATGTAAGATAAGGGTTCAATAGCACTCGTTCAATAATCGAAGTCTCACTCATCAAGGGCTGAAGTCGACTCAAAACCGTTAGTCGTTGCTGCTGCTGTTGTTGTTGGTAATAGATGTGTGTATGTATGAAGTGTATATGTTTGAGTCTATGGGCGTCAGTAGCGGCGTTTTGGACAACTGCGTTTCTTCAAGCTGCGTACAGTTCAGATGGGATAGTCACCAGGGTAATATTATACAACCCCTACGTACACACATAAGGCATTGCGCTCGTACCGCCCAAAAAAAATGGATCTGCAACGTTTTCGGACCGTTCGACTATAAGTTCAGTCAGAGCGTAGGCGTTCAGAAAGGTATCACGTAGCAAATGCAAACCAGCCGATAGGTTAAAATCGTGCTTTCGTTAAACGGAGAATAGACGTTATCGGTGTTACGATAAAGGTGGCTTTTAGTGGCAGTTAGCCGTTGTTTACTACTAATAATAGTAAAAATAACAGTTCCACGTGTTCCCCCCATTTACTCAGTGTAGAACAGTATTTAGCCCGTGTTCACCATTGACACCCCCTTTATTAACGTAGCCTATGTCCTATTCCTGCCAGACGTCTCAAAGGCCATAGCGACAACACGACGAAGACAACTAGATTGCGATCTAATCACCACAGGCTGTTAGCAAAGTCGCCCGCCGAGAACTGCCGAAGGGGCCGGCTGTCGAGCAGGTCCATTAAAGTTTTGAAGTCTGATTTCTCTGTGCTATCAGCTACCGATCAGTTTTTGTTTTCTCCACTAGTTACCTCAGTACCGCAATTGTCCAAGTGTCACACAAGGAGACTACGACGCTGTCTTAGACTCAACGACCAGCATTTGCGGGATTGTAAACACCCGTCGCGGCGCCTACCTTTAGTTTTGCCTGCCCAAACGCCCGATCCCGCTGTAACATAATAAGCAGCCCGCCTGAACAGGTGCGTAGTGAACCGGCTTTTAAGGGCAGTGGGCTACGATAGGTTGTGGCGGAGCAGTCGATTGCTACGATCGGACATTTCCCATCGTCCAAACCCTCTCCCAGATCAGCCACGATACACGGTTTTAGGTGTAACACAGAAAATGCAGAAGACAAGCTACATAGCGTTTTAAACTGAAAGATCGAGTTGCGTCGGCTTCGAGTCATTGATCAAAGTTTCAAAATTTCAAAAAAAAAAGATAAGCGGAGATGCTATCTTATCTTGCGATAGCTTATAGAGGCAGGTACGTGGACGACGGCAAAAACGACGACATTTTCTGCGCTCGATAAGAGAGAATATGAGATAAGAAACGAGATATTGGAGAACCCCCGAGATATACGTGCGATCAAATGAAGTTATTGGAGATAAATTGGCCTCGAAGTTACCTCATCAGCTCAAATCAGGTGACGAATGCCTGTTAGCGCTACACAGTTTGGGATCAAACGTAACAACACAACAGCAGCTTTTGCTTTGGCCTCTTTTCTGCCTGTCTAAGGCTGTATAACGGAAACGCTGCTATTGCTAGTGGATTTGGTTTCTCTATTAAAATCGTATCAATCTAATTCGTAAAGCAACTCGGCAGAAGCGTTGATCAGCAGGTCCGATACGGCCTGGTATAAGGCAACAGCACCTCGTGTGATTGTCTATCTCAACATTTGGACAATTGTCGTTTTTCTTGAGATTTGTTAATGATTCGAAATATTTTTGTTTTTAATTCCATTAATTTATTTTTAGCATGAGGCATTTACTAACTGAAGAACCACCATGCTGCTCGCTGTTGTGGTTTACTGGGAGAGACAGACCTGAAGAGGTTTACTTTTCCGTTTACGAAATAGAACTTCGTACAGATCGCGCAAATAGTAAGACAAGCGGGACTTTGACACGGGTGTTTGCCCGACAGGTCGGCTAACGAAAATGTGCTAGAGAACAATAGCTCACATTTTAGTTGTACTGGATCAGTCTGCCGCCTTGTTATTCTACGTTGCTTTAAGTGACGAGCCGTATATTTCTTAACGAAAAAGAACAATCAGCAGAAGCGTTGTGTACTCTCGTAAATGACAGATTATTCGAGGACAAAGAATGAAAAAACGAAATTGCCAACGAGTAGCCAAATTAAAGGCAAGATAGTTTGATTCCTACGGACACCTATACGAATGTATAATATTCTTCGTAGGGACAAAATAGACTGAACTGTTGGATTAAACAACAGCCGAACAACAACGGAGTGGCTAGATCCACACCGCCATGTGAGTGCCTTTTGGACCCTAAGTGTGTGTAGGCTAGTATACATTTATCTGGCTATAGTTGCATGAGCCTTGAAGATCTTAATGGCACAGTGGTTTTACCCAGTCATCAAGTCTCCATCGTTTTGTCTATGTTGCACTACAAATGGACTTTTCAGACGCTACCTTGCCAGGGCAGCCAAATAGGACGAGACGATAAAGGTACAAATCGATTTGTGTAACGACAACGCTAGAGTCCCGGATCCGAGATCTTTTGAGTAAAGGAAATTTCTTGATTGGTGTGTATTTTAGATGCCCAATCGAAGCCTGTACCAACCCAATATGATAACGGCGAAGAATTGTCTAACGCAACCCAGTCGCTACTGAAGGCGTTTCTCTACCGCCTGTTTTAGGGCTGATCCCGAACTTTGAAGACACTGCACGATGACGATTGAAACAGAAGATTACTGCGCGACAAAACCAAAATCGCTACCGCACGCATGTGCAATGCTCTCAAGGGAGTTTTGTGCGAAGGGGCACCTACATTAAAATACACTTATCCCAACTAAGTGCTGCTCGGGGAGCTTAAGTTTAGTAGGCACAGCGTTGTGTAGTGTAGGCTGCCTGATGTACACGGACCCCTGTCCTGAGCTGTCGAACAGACCAACGTCACCCTTGTTTTTTTAAGTTAATATCGAGATGCGAGAAGCAGTTTCAACAAGCAGTAATAGCAGCAGCGCAGCAGTAGCAATATCGAAGGTGCGCTACAATTCCTATTTAGGTTTTGCTAGGGATTTACACCCAGAGGTGTTGTCCTTCGCCTTAGGAGGATGAGATATAAAGAGTCAGACTCAGACAGCGATGGTTTACTGCTATAACCATGCTGAGCTGAGTGGATCTCCACGACTGTCGTGTTTTGGAAAATAAATTACCGATACTGATCGAGTGAAGGATTTCAATATCATGTTTTTATTAACTCAAACCGCTTCCCTCGTCAAGCTTAGTCATTTGCCACCTTCACGAAGAAGCACTTATTCACGGATTTTTATTGTCCTGGTTCTTCATAGCAATCATCTAACATATCCAACCCCAATGACGATCATCCCCTTTCTTAATGGATGGACACCAATAGCGATTGCGCGTAATACTACCTGTATAGTATTTCTAGCTAGGTAGGCTGGCTTGCTGATCGATTTTCGAAAACTAGCGCGCTTCCCATACACATACACAGACACAGATACACATACGTACACCTATCCAGATCTGTTATTATCGTTTTGTCTGTAGCAGCTGACGGAGCTTCAAACGACTAGTAACCGTACAAAAAGGTACGTGCGACAACTTCTAAATATATTGGTACCCACCAATAATGAAGAGACGCGCAATACTATCGACATAGTAGGACAGACTGAAAGAACTGACGTCTGACGTGTAGGAATCTATGTGCGGATTTTGGACATATCATTATAGTACTGGCTCTGGTGTTGTCGCCAACAGGACGGAAAGCCTGGATAGACACAGGCATGCGTATAGCTATATAGATAATAACTGTACGTGGCTATGGTATAATTTCCGTCGTAGGTTGAATTGTCGACGGGGCGAGTAGGCCGCCGAATCAAACATTTCGGAATAGACGCAGATACGCATAAATAAAATAGATGGATTCCAAATAAAAGGGACGACACAGAATTTATGATAGGTATAAAATAATTGTTCAAATGGTTCTCCTTAGACATATATGAGATATATACGTACATCTAAAGAGAATCACTGGAGGTGCGGAGCCGCAAGAGCTAAGCACGAAGGGATGCCCCCAGTGCTGCAGATTGTCACTAGAAGCAAATGCACTGGCACAAACGCAAGGGCTAGTGAAAATTGAACAACCGAGACAGAAAAACATCGTTGAAAATCCCTACTACCAGCAACAAGTTTTTCTTTATCGAAGAGCTCTACTCGGAACAGATCCGACAGACAGGCAGTCCGATCAGGCGATCAGCCCGTCTACGAGTTATAGCAGAAGCAGAGTAAGTGCAATGTGTTTAACCTTAAGCGGGCACGCTCAGACGGACCTGAGCCAATTTTGGACGCATCAAAGCAAGCCATATCCTATCGCTAAAGCTTGATACCACGGCCACAGCCTTCGCGTTCGTTTTGAAAGGCCGCAATACGAAGATAGCCACAGAAGAGTCTTGAAAGGCCTCCAATAGCTCGGATATGCTTAACAGCACAGACAAACCTCTAATTGTGAGTGGTGATGACAGAAGTACAGTAGCGACACCTGGTGGTATTTCAACATATCGCAGCAGAAATAGCAACAGGATGGCAGATAGAAAAAGGAAATTGAACTTAGGCACTGATGTACAACGAGGTTGAGATTAAATATATGCTAATACGAAAAAAATGTAATTATACTGACGAAAATATTTTTAATTATTTAATGCACATTCAGTTAGATCGTGCGATGTGTTACACATTTCTAGATTCTATAACTTATTGTCCTGTTTGTATCGTCACATATCTAAACTATACGAGCGTCGGGTACTTAATGGGCGACGCTCTACTATATAAGAACAGGCAAGGTCTGTGGGCACAATGCGACCACTCAATGTACGAAGGAAAAAGCATTATATCAATTGATTGACGTCGGAAGTGTCGTATATGGATCAGCTAAACCGGGTATTTTGAGGCCTTTTTTGGACAAGCTGAGTCACGTACCTTTTTGACGGTTCCGTGATTTGTTCCGAGGAAGGCGACGCTGTGCTGTTGCGTGACTGTCACGACAACGGCCGTTAGCGTTACGCCAGTCCACGTAGCGGCGGCCTGAGCCCGGATCGGCGCGCTGCCGTTAACTTTAAGCGTCTCGTTACAGAAGCTGTACACGTTGCCGCTTTTCTGTAATTAGAGTAAACAAAAGAGCAGAAATTGTAGTAATTATGACTGTGCCATGACCACTACGCCACCTGTTAATCTAGCAACTTCTATATAGTATTTGGAGAATATAAAAATACGTGTATTACTTTTGTTATTACATGCTATAAGAAATATGTTGATCAAAAGCATCCATGACCCTATGAGGATGTTGGGCACTGAGTGTCCCGTAGCATACTATAGTTTTCTATGTCTATCTAGGTTGCCATTTCTATCCAACACCTTTATAGTATATTACGTTTATAGAATGCTATGGGTGCAATCTTACATGCGCCTGTTACGTATGCCATTGCTTTATATGCGGTATTCATCGAACAAACGCTATTAACAAACGCTTTCTTTTATAAAATCGAAAACTCACAGCGTTTGATCCTCACCACCCGGACACCTTAAAAACTTCTAGTTTCATCTTTAACCTAGTCGCATATCTCGCTGCGTATAACATGATGCAACCTGCGTATTCACCGCCTAAAGTGATATGGCTGAAACGTTTGTCGGCCATCGTTCAGACGACGCTTGACTGGCACTGGGCAGCTTCCTCCATCCGAAGCACTTCCGTTGATACATCAAGTTTATTTCGACCCCGTATACACACAAATACCAGGATCATGTAGAGGCTTTTGCGTTGTCATGAGCGTTGCTCACAGTTGCTTTGCGACCAGCCATCGGTTTCTCCCCAGACGGAAAACCGAAGTTTCAAGTTTCCTGCTGCCTCGGGCAGCATGCAGAAATCACTGTACGTGCGGGCCTTCTCTTAGAGAAGCATTACCTTTCGCCACTGCTCCTGAGGCAACGAACGACCCAGCGGTTTTAGTCTGTCCAAGAACTTCAGCGATGGTGGGGTGGTCCTTTCGTTTCAGACTCGCTGAGTGCAAAGGCAAAGTAGATGCCCAGGGGTGCCCTCTGGCTCCGCCTTGTCTGCCATTTGCCCTCTGCTGGGGTCATCCGGTCACCCACACTGGCAGAGCGTTTTATTGAATTTTTACGATTCTCACTCACACCCTGCCTGTGAGTTCCAAAGAGGCCATTACCCACCAGCAAGCTTTACATATACTAGTATTAAGCTCCGCTTTTTCTACACAACCCAAATGGAGTTTGAGAATAGCAATGTTGACTGCGGTGCCGCTTCTACGCAGCGCAAGGAAAAGCTAAGCTTTTGATGCTACGAACTCAGAAGTTATTGTCAGTGTAAGAGAGAAATAAAGGCATAAGGACAAGTACTGGATGGTGTAAGTCTATGCTACTATGAGGCTCGCTGCTCCGTAATATTGAGCACCAGCACCTGCGGGCGTCCTCTATAATAAAATTCTCGCTATGTCAGAACGAGTATTTGTATATGCCTATATTATAAGACCCTGCAGTTTCGCGCGATCTGTAAAATCCGTTTATGTGTGTGTGTGTGAATGTATGTGTCGCTTTCTCGGTAGCTCAGCGGTCTTGTCATCCATGCCAGCAGGACAACATCTGGGCGACAATCAGCAGGGGATAACCGGCAGAAGGAGCCAAGAACCAGTTTCATCGTTGTTGCCGGGTCGAGGCAAGTCCTGAATCGAGCCCGTAAAAGGGACATCGCCTGAGGGAGAGCTGAGGTTAATATCCGAGTAGCGCCATGAGGCGAGCATGTGCGCTAGTACAATTTTACAGAAATTCGCCTTTCACACACTTCTTGGCCGCTTCCAGCTTTGACATAACGGTACTCCGGCACAGGCCATCAACCGTACATCAAGCCTATCCGTTCATGTCGTGTAGAAGGCAGAAGCGGCAAAAACACAGACCAGTTGAACTCTCCCTCTTTTCATTCCTTCGTAAAAAGTGGAAAAGTGCCTTTCTGATGATTACGTGAGACTTTCCCAACATTGAGGTAGCAACGCAGTAAAGCTTTCCAAAGACAAAGGCTTTAGGTGAGCCATCTAACCTGCTTTATCTAGGCAAAGATAAGGAGGGAAGCTCGTTTCCGCTGTGAACTTCATATTGTGCACGTATGAGGACAGAGCAGGAAGAGGTTCACCAAAAATAAAAAGCCTCAAAAACCCTTTACTTTGTGCCCGGAGCAATGACTTAACAAGCTCGTAATTCAGTCCGTTCGGCTACGCTTACTTAGCGTTTGTTTTTAGAAAGAATGCTCAACGTGCCAAGTATTGTATTTCGTAAGCAGTCCATATGCGTTCGACCAGCACACGGCCATCCCCAATAACGTTGAGAATACCGACCATCTGTTAATATGGCTGAAGTCATATTATTACCACCATTGCGTTAAATGTGAGTTGGAGTATGTCTTGGAGGATCTGATATAAAAATTTATTTTTATCTGGTTCCTAAAAAAGCAAGCGGGCTGCACAGACGACGATGTTCATTCTAGCGCCAGCCACCCGGTGGTCCCCAAAAGCAGTTCGTGCGGGCCGTTAACCGTCATCCACGACAACTGTGGTCCAAGTCTTGCTTCTTTAGCTTTGCCGTGTCCTACATCCCCCTCCCTGCGATGAAATGGTCTTCAAGGGAACTGTAAAATTCCCAGAGGATGGTGAGTTTCTAGCATATTTTTCACTGGTTTTCTCTATTGGGCTTCCGTTGGCTCAACTTTGTTTCGTTTGCTGTTATACCTTATCCATCCGCTGCCCGGCCGCTCAGGTTCTGTTAGTTGCCTAGAGTTTTTTCGCATTTTACCTTAACTTTCACTCTCTAACGCACCTTCCTTCCCGTTCCTCGTTTTTCAACCTATCATTCCTATATTACTTGCTGCTTCTGCGTCACAGAGTTAGGCTCATAGTGAACATCGTATGAGTCTTAGGTCCGCACCAGGCCAAAAGGACATTGCGCAACATACAGCTCACAGTAATACCGTTGGGTAAAGTAGTGGTGTGGTTCAAACTCTTATTGAGACTGACACAATCCGGTTTTCGCCTCCTGCAACGAGGCACAGGTGCTGAAAAGTCGCCACACCCTACAGGCACGGCCGCTTGCCGTCTACTCTGGCAGCTTCTCTACGATGAAATCAGCAACAGCAGCAACGAGACGAAGTGAGGAGGCTCCCTTATCCTCTTACGCCAGCGCAGTAGTCCATGTTGGTTCACCCAAAGTGGCAGGATTCTGCATCCGTATCCTTGCTCGACATATCCCATTGCAGCTTCCCCGGCCTTGAGCACGGCCATTGCCGCCCACTGCACTACCCAAATTATTGCTCTCGCTACAACTGACAAATACGTCTATTATAGCAGACAGACGCCAGTCGTTCGCTGCGAGCTCAAAGATTCTTCTCGATAAGCTTATATAACCCAAAAAGTCACGATGATCCATTCCTCCTTCCCGTGTTTCGTTGTCGAATCCACGCGCTCCTGCTTTTTTCCTCCCTTTTCCACTATCCACACCCGGTGTCAGAAAAAGCCTTGAGCACGAAAAGTCCCAAGGAAAAAAGGGGTGTATTGAGAGCAAAACTAGATGCCCGGTGGTGTACACGCCCAGATATATCGACCGACAGACATGCGCCGCGTGGCCGCGTTTCTCTCCAACGTTGACTAACCCAGAAAAAGGTGCCTTGCAGGCAAGCAAAACCCTCGCTGTGCTTAGCAGGCGCCAGTAATCTACCCGACTCCAATTACGCTTATTCGCCGGCACGTCGATCGCGCATCAGTGGGCCGCCAGACAGCAGTGCGACCTGCGTCTTCTGCTGCTGCTACTGCTTTCGATGTTGCATCTATGCTGTTGCTTCCTTTAGCAGCTGTGGCGGCTCATTGGTTTCTGCTCCCGGCTTCGCTTCTCTCGTGCTCTGTTTTTAGCCGTACTCATCCCTCTCCCTAGCAGGTTCCCTCCACCACTTCTCGCTCTCTCCACAGTTTTCTCCTCTTTGTGGAGCATTAACAGACAGTGGTTGGGCAGCGGTTTCCGATTGGTGGGACCGGTCAGTTTGCCCCACTGTCTAACGGCTATTGCCAGTTTCCTAGCAATAAGGAGTCTAGTGGGACAAGTAATAGGAGTGACAGCAGCAGCAGTCGGTAGTAGTAGAATAGTAACTGTAATAGCCGGTCCTGCGTCATGGCTCACGCCTCAGATGAGCCTAAAGAATGCATGCCTGATGGATCTCTACATAGAGAAACCGTCTAAGACGTGAGAAAAGGATGAAGAGAGACCCAAAGTTTTCAGTGTCGTGTGTCCCAGAAGCGAGTGGTTCGCTATGTTAACTGATGATGACGGTGGGAATAGGGCCACAGCAACTCAACCATAAAGTCCATGTCGTAAGTGCTTGTATATCTACTGTGACATTAACGCACATTACGACGATTGCTTCCGAATAAGTAGAGCAGAAGCGCTGTTTGGTGAGCTCTAGTCGCATGCGATCGTGCGGTCAACGAGGGGGTAACGTTGCGCTCCGTTTCTAATGTAGTGCAGTGCCACTGCTCCATAGCGGTGAGAAATAGCTAGTCCCTTAAGACAACCTCGTGGTATGCCAATAACCGGACATGATCAGTCTATTAACAAGCAAAATCTAACAGTCATGATGAGCTCAGCCAGAGGTTCAGAGGGGGGATCGCATCGCGAGTCTGCACTAGGCTCTCACTTTTCCTCTTCGGTTCGCTCTTTCGACTCTCACTCTCGCAATAACGGTGGCGCATGACGCAGGACTCAGCTCAGCTAAGGGCATTCATGTGAAAAAAACTAATTTCAAGCGACGGGCTGTCCTCAAGCTCGTCGCCAAGGGGCAAACGGCTAATTATGGAACGCACGTGGATAACCTTATCTTGCTCTATATGGCGGCAGAACAGAACCTTCAGGAAGCTCTTGACTTGCTTTGCAATCGGCTGAGGGGGGATGCTGCACCATCGAGAAGGAGCGACTGAAAAACGAGGCCACTAATGGTGTATGAGCAAGATGCAGCCCGCTGAAGAGCCAATCGGTTCGTTTCTCACTGCAGATGGCAGAAGAGGATATCATAAGGGGAATAATATCATAAGAATATCATTTCTGCACTA